TGCATGTGTGAATATGTGCGTGTGTGGATGAGTGTTGTGTGCATATGAGTGTGTATGCACAAGTGTGTTGTATGTGTGGGTGTGTGTTGTGAGTGCGTGTGGGTGTGTGTTGTGCATGCATGTTGCATGTGTGTGTTGTGTGAGTGTGTGTGTGGGTGCACGAGTATGTTGTATGTGTGTTGTGCATCCATGTGTGTGCATGAGAGCTTCTCCTGACCACAGACCCGCTGGGCCGCCGGGCGGCAGAGCGTGTGCACAGGGCGTGTGCAGGGCATGCTGTGTGGCCACACCTGCAGCCCATAGCACAGGCTCCGGAGTGGGCCTGGAGGAAGTGAGAGGGACGAGGGCATGGCCAGCGCCACCGCACCACGGCAGCCACTTCTCTGCTTTGTCTGGGGGCCACACGTGGCAGTTCTCAGGGCTCACTCCTGGCAGGCTCGGTGGACCGACTACCCATGGTGCCGGGACCAAGCGGTGTGCAGGGCAAGGCCTCCCCCTCTGTACCGTCATTTCACCCCCCAACACCCACACATTTCCGTCTCCAAAGGGATGGGCAGGGGTCCCACTGGTGCTGTTGGGATCCCATACTCCATTGGGCTTTGGGGTTCCGTGGGGAACAGGACACTCTGACCAGCCGAGACTTTTTTTCTCATAAAGTCATATCGCCACGCCCCGCCCAGGGAGTCCAACCACTGGAGGGGAAACCAAGGTCCAAAGGCAGGCAGGACCCAGGTCTCTCCGGCTCCCTCCCTGCCCGGGGCTGCTTGCTTCAGGCGGAGTGTGTAGAGGTTCCAGTGGTGGCAGGGACACGCCCACAGCAGGGAGGGGCAGAGCCGCTCTGGGGACCAGCTGCACCTCAGCAGGCTGGACTCAGAACTCTGAGTCCGCCTGGAAAGCAACACGTGATTTCATTTCTTCTCAAGCCCTGGGGCACACACAGGCAGGACCCCAGAGGGCGGCTGAGGCCACACTGGAGGATCCAGGCTCTGTCCTGCGCAGGACACCAGGAGCCAGCATCACCTGTCCACTGCTGGCCACAGACCACCTCGGCGGCCAAACTGGGGCCAGGCTGACAGCCATTCCATGCCCTGGGGACCACAGGGCTGGGCCTCAGCTCTGGCCTCCCTGGCCACTGCCAAGGGGACCCCCAGACTCCGCCCCCCTCCCCAGGCCTGGTGGCTTCAAAATGGCAGCAACCCCGGGGCCATCCATCACATATGGAGATGGGGCCGGAGATCAGCTGGGGGTGCCAGGGCCCCAGCCTTGGCCCTAGGCTCCGTGTTGTGGCCCGGGCAGACCCCAGTGCCAGCCCGAGCATTCACTCCCGGGTGTGCAGTAGGGCTGAGCATTCCCTACCCCGGGCCCCCTAAGAGGCCCCCAACAAGGGAAAGAACCCGGCAGGTGCTGAGTGCTGCCTCTCCAGCTGCACCTGCCCTGGGACTCACTGCGGGGTGGTGCTCCCCGCCCTGGGCTGGCCGTGGGGGTTCGCAGCCTCGGCGTTCCCTGCTTTAATGAGGTGAGGAAACACAACCATAAAGCGATGCCAAGGAGAGACGGGAATGTTGGTCCTCAGGCTGGGTCTAGGGGTCTCTAAGGAAAATAGGGCTGAGGTTCTGGGGTGCAGCGACTTTCCATCTCACCCTGAGGTCTGCTGCAGTGGGCATGCGGGCACAGGGCACTTTGGAAAGGACTCCAGGGGTGCGGCTCAGAGGGCCGGGGCTCTGCCTTGTACGAGACTGACCGAGCGCTTGACCCCCAGCGCTGGGTCCAGTCTCCTGCCTCGGCCTACCAGGAAGGGGTCCTGGTCACCAGTGGGAAAATAAGATACAAGGTATAAAAATAAAATGCTTGTATTTGCTAAGGGGCTCAATGAAACCCACAGACCCTTACTGGATGTCTTAATCCAAGGCTCTCTGGGCTTTCTCAGAGTAAACAGGAGTTTATAAAAGTATTTAAAATGATTACGAGTAATGCCCAAAAGGAGGGAGAAAGAGAGAGAGAGAGACGGACAGAGACAAGCGCCTGCCACAGAGACAGGCTAGGGGGTAGGGACTGGGGGCTCATGGGAGGGAAACAGGGGACTCTGGTGCTGGGAAATGTGCACCGGTGGAGGACGGGTGCTGGAACACTGTATGACTGAGATCGTGAACAGCCTTGTAAGGGTCTGCTCACAGTGATTCAATAAAAAATAAAATAAAATAGAATGACCTTGTGTGTGAACCTCAGGGCAAGCTGAGCCCCGTGCCCCGGTCCTGGGCTCTCCACCCCCTACCCCCCGCCAGCTCCCAGCTCTACCCATCAGCTGTGTGGCTGTGTGTGATCACCACAATGGAGCATTCTGTCCTAAATCAATCTCTCAATCTCTATCTCTCTCTCTCTCCCCACCCCCCACTTTTTGGGTCACTCAGAAGTGCTCACGGGTTACTCCTGGCTTTGCACTCAGGAATTACTCCTGGCGGTGCTCAGGGGACCATGTGGGGACCCAACCCGGGTCGGCCACATACAAGACAAACACCCTCCTCGCTGTGCTATCGCTCCAGCCCATCCTAATCCCCTTCACATTGGCCCACACCACGTGGCTGCTGACTTATTCCCACCGTCAGTCGGGCTGGCAGCCCACCCTGATCCAGTTCTAAACCCATGTCCATACCGCCCAGCACTGCTGGCAGCCCCCAGCCCACCCGAAGAAGCCAGCCACGCCCTAAGAGCCCGCAGAGCCACTGAGGCATCAGCTATGCCCTGAAGGGTCCCCCTCACTCCACTTGTGGCCTCGTCTTGGGCCAGCATGTGGGTCTACACAGTCATTTCTCAACACTGATGCCTGTTCCCAGGGCGACCACCACTGGGCCCTGGGCCACCCTGGAATCTGCATGTGCCCCTCCGCCCCCAAACAGGACCTCATCTCTGCAGAGCAGCTTCAGAGAGCTGGACTGACTGGGCGAGCCCAGCACCCTGAGCCCAGCAAGCACCGGCGGGGTCCCAGCGCTCCAGCCCACGCCCGCCACATCCTCACCTCGTTTTGTTTGTTTCTTTGTTGGGCCATACTCGGCAGTGCTCGGGGGGCTGCCTCGGGACCATCTGGGGTGCTGGGGATGGAGCCTGGGTCAGCTGCATGTAGGCAAGTGCCCTCTTTGCTGTTCTGTGGCTCCGATGACCAGTGACCCTCTATACCCACGGCACCCAACCCTCAGTGGTCTGCGAGGGCTGCAGTGCCCCGAGGTCAGAGCCTCCTTCACACAAGGGGCTCAGGACACAGTGCCCTGCACCCATGGGCCAGGCCTTGTGAGCCTGGTGCTAAAAGTCACCTGTAGGGTTTCTAAAACGACAAAACCCAAGTCTGCCGTCACTCAGTGTTGGTAATGGGGCCCAGGCCTGAGGGTCTCTTGGACCAACAGGTGGCACAGGGGTTCAGGCACCTGCCTAGCACACAGCCAACCTGCGTTTGAGCCCAGCACCCCATGGGTTCCCTGAGCACCACCAGGAGTGCTCCCTGAGCATGGAGCCAAAAGCCCCACCCTCCCCAGCCACCCTCAGGCTACGCCACACTGGGCTGGAGGCAGCAGCCCTGGAAGCCTTGAGAGGGGACCTGGGCTGTGCCCAGACATCCTGGTTAATGTGGTCGAGAGCCCGGGCCCCCTCACATCCCCAGAACCCAGCCTGTCCGGGAAGTGCGAGGGGGCTGAGTTCAGATGAGGTCACTGGGGCCGGGTGGGCCGATGACGGCAGCCCTCCGGGGAGGACAGAGACGCAGACAGACACACACAGCGCCCCTGGATCACATCACAGCGCGGCCAGCTCCCCAGGGGGCGGTCATTGGGAGGCACGGGTGGACGTGCTTGTGGCCGGTGCCACGGTTCAGCTCCAGCGTGATGCAATGATGGGCTTAGCGCAGAGAGAGGCGCCAGGCGCAGCGGGCGACCCTTTGTTTTCCTGGACCCAAAGCCACTGCAAAGGCGACTCGGGCTTCGGTGCTCGGCGGGCCCCGCCCAGCTCCCGGGGCCAGCTCCACCAGGGATGCAAAGACCAGTGAGGGGATCACCCAGGAGATCCAGTCCCTCAGCCCCAGACTCCTGCCCGCCAGGCCGTGTCCTGCAGCGCAGAACTGTCTGGACCAGGTTCTTGACCACCACTTGCAGTCAAGAGTGTAGGGTCTCTGAGTGAGAGGACACCCCAAGGAGGGACCCGCCAAGCTCATCAGGAGCTTCTCCTTGTGCTCCCATGTCTCTACACATGGAGTCCTGCTGGGGGACTGAGGGGGGGGCACGGGAGATGGGGGTCATAGCCAAAAACAGGAGAAACTCGGAGACCCCACTTGGGGGCTGGCCTGGACCCAAGCAGAGTGTGAACCCCTGGGGAATTGGGGAACAATGCCGCACAGCACCTGTTCCTAGAGGGCACTAGCCCTACGGCAGCCCACCAGAGCCCCCCATCAGCCGGGGCCCCTCCCTCCCACAGTCAGCAGCGCCCCTCCTGGGGGCCACACCAGGGCCCCAGTCAGTCTTTAGTCACTGCTCCGGGCAGCCCCTCCAGGACCCTCCTGCCCTGGGGGACCGACCCGAGCTCACATCCGCCCCACCCCGTCCAGGGCTGTCCTCTGCCTGGGAGAACGCCGGGACCAGGGGGGTCCTCCTCCCATTCTGCGTCCTCCAAGGCGTCCCCGGGCCCCACCCGGCCCGCCCGGGGCCCGACGCAGCCCCCCGCGCGCCTCACCTGGGAAAAGTTTCTTCCCGGGTCCCCCGGGCCTCCCCCGACCCCACCTCCACGCGGCGCCCCCCGCCCCCGCTCGCTGGCACCCCAGGGCCCTCCGCCTGCCAAAACCCGATCCGTTCCTGGCGCCCTCCCCGGGGGCCGAAGCGGCGGCGGAATTTCGGTGGAATTCTGGGGCCGAGCAGCGTCTCGGCGGCGCGGCGGGGGGAGAGGGCGCGGAGGCCGGGCGGCGGGCGGGCGCAACCCGGCGTCCACTCGCGGGGTCCGGGCCGGCCGCGCGTCCGCGTCCTTACCTACATCTGCATTGCAAAACGCCTGTTGCGGGTGCACGGGCGAGCAGCTGCAGGCGGCGGCGGGGCGGAGCAGCGTGCCCAGCAGCAGCAGGCCGAGCGCCAGCCGCGGGCTGCGGGCCGAGGCGCCCATGGCGGGCGGGGGGCGCGGCGGGGGCGCGGCGGGGGCGCGGCCGACGTCGCGGGGGGCCGGGGCGCTCGGCGGGCGCGCCCTCCGCGGCCCGCACAAACTTCGGCCGCGGCGCGGGGGCGGCGGGCGGAGGGCGGGTCAGGCGGGACGGCCGCGGCCGAGGCGCGCGCGGGCGGGTGGGGGGCGGCGAGGCGAGCGCGCCCGCCGGGCCGGTCCGGGTCCTTCCGCTGCCGTCTCGGGCCGGGTGCGCGGCGGGCGCGGGCCGCGCCGCCTCTTATAGCCCCCGGCGGCCCTCAGCCCCGCCCCCCGGCGGCGGGCGGCCAATGAGCGCCCGCGGCCGCCCCCGGCGCCGCGCCGCCCCGCCCTCCCGGCCCGGGGCTTTTGTTGAGCCCCGCCTGGCACGTCCAGGGCCGCCGCCGCGCACCTGGGCCCGTGCCCCCCGCCGCGCCCCGCGCCCTCCCCTCGGGCTCGGGGCCCTGCGGGGTCCGGAGGGCGCGCGGCGGGGCCTGGTGCAGCACGTGGCACCGCAGCCCCCTTCTCAAGGGCACCTCCCAGCCGCCCCTGCCCCTCCGGCGGGCCCCGGAGGTGGACGCTGGAGACCCCCCTTCCGCTCCTGGGATGCCCTTCGAATAGTCGGGGGCGGAGGGGGGTGAGCGTGGGCGCGGGGTCGTTCCTCGCCGCCCCATCGCCGTGCCCCTGTCTCTGGGTGACCTGGGAGGGGCGGGGCGGGGCGGTGAACGCGTTCATCTTTTCTTTTTCCAATGGAGACTTCAGCATTTTCACCAGGCTGGGCCAGCCTCGTTGCAGGGGAGGAGGGAGGGGTTACTCGGAACAAAACAGGATTTTATATAAACTGGCCACATTTCTGAGCCGCCAGCAAAAGCTGGGGGTGGGCCCAAGAGCCCCAGCGCCCGCAGGATTGGAGGAGCCGCGTTTGCTGAGCTCTGCACGGTTCCCTCCCTTTGCCCACAAGTGTGGGCGCCGAAGGACGTTTTCCCAAAAACAGTCCCGGGTTCCGAGAAAGGCTGTGGGTCCCAGGCGTGCTGACTGCCGAGTGTGACCTCAAGGCCCGGCCTCTAACGGCCGGTGCCAGGCGCGCAGGTGCCTTTTCCGAGGGGCAGGACACGGTTCGGGAAGAACTGCCCAGGGACGCTGCCAACTGGAGGTGCGATAGGAAAGTGGAAAGTGTGGCGCGAATGGGAAAAAGGGGCCAGTCTGCGGGAGTGGAGACCCAGGCAGTGTCATGGCAGAGGGCTATTTTTAGCTCTCTGACACATACAAAGTCACTCTTTTTGGTTTTTGTGCCCTGGACACACTCGTCCTCCTGATGCCTGAACGGTGACTTAAGCAGCAGGGCTTTGGTCACGTGGGACCTCTAGGCGCCCCATGGTCTTCACGGAGGTTTTTGATTTTTATTTTTTTATTTGGGGCCACACCCAGCGGGGCTCAGGGCTTACCTAAGGCTCTGGGCTCAGGGACCACTCCTGGCGGGGCTTGGGGACCATAGGCAGTGCCAGGGATGGAGGCCGGGTCAGCTGTGTGCAAGGTCAACGCCCCACCCGCTGTCCTGTCTCTCGGGTCCATGGCCTCTGTGGAACTGGGGTGCGAACCAGGGTGCTAGAACTTGACACTCTCAGTTCAGAAATGGAACATCTCCCGGCACTCATCCCACAGACCGGGCAGCTGTGGGAATGACGAGTACGCGTGATAGATAACGTAGAGGGGGCGAGTGTGACCCAAGGGAAGAGAGTCAGAGCTGGCGGGTGCAGGGCAGGAAGTGAGGGGTTCCCACAGGAAGATTCCTGCCATCCCCCGCCGGCCCCCTGGAAGCACTCACCCCACCGCCCACTACCTTCTCGCACCTCTGGAAAACCAAGGCAGACGCCCTGAGGAGACCCAGGATGGCGAGGGCAGCGCCACTGGGTGGAACCGCTCACCCAATTTGGAGATGTTTCGACCCTCACCCACGGGACAGCTCGCTGCCTGGCAGGGACAGAGGGGACAGGGACTCATGGCAGATGGACATGCCCCTTGTTCAGGAAGCAGCGGCCTGGGGCAGGTCTGAGCAGAGAGGGCTGAGGGCACCTGGCCACTCTCCTTGGGGCAGATGTGCCACCCCAATTCCCGTCTGCTCTGGGCACCATTCGGGCCACAGGAGGAGCCGCTGATGCCCCCAGCCCACCCCTGGCACCCGCACTCCCTGGCGGGGCTGCTGACCCCAGTGCTTCCTGGATATGACAGGAAGTTGAGTTGGGGTGACAGGCTGCTCTGGCATGAGGATGGGCCATGGTTTGTGTGTGACGAATCAAGGCTCTTTACCTCCCACCTGGGGACATTGAAACACTGGCATTCTCCTACCTGTCAGACCTGTGGACAGCCACTTCTCTACTGGCTGCTGGCTTTCATCTCATGCCACCCACCTCACTGATCACCTCACTCATCCGCCTCACTGATCCTCCTCCCTGTCCACCTCCCTTCCCATTCCCTCATGCATTTCATGAACCCATTTCACGGATGCATCTCCTGGCCCTGTTGCATGCTCGAGCCTGTTGCTTGGTGCAGCGACCTTCTCTCAGCAGCTGCGGTGCGCAGCTTCCCTGACCACCCCCCAGTTGCCAAGGGGAGCCACAGCCCACCATGCCAACCCAGTCATTCTGCAGACCCCGTCTGCCCCCTGGGGTTGGGGTGGGCACAGAACCACCCTGGTGACAGTGCTCCCTGAGAGGGAGTGAGAAAACAAAAGGCAAGAGAGGCTGGGGAGCTTGGTGGGCAGAGCATTTGCTCTGCAGGCAACAGACCAGCGTTCATCCACAGCATCAGCATGAGTCATCCCTGAGCCTGAGCCAGGAGTGAGTGGGGTGTGGCCACCACGCTCACACACACGTGAAGACGGGGCTCGGGTGCTCCTCTGCCTCCACCTGTCATCCCAGGGGTGGCGGCAGCCTGGAACAGGGCACCCACCTGGCCCACAGCCGCCGCTGCCCACCATGCAGAGCAGAGAGCGGCTCTGCAGAGAGAGGGGGAACCAGAAGCCCGCCACGGGCGTGATGGCAAGCCGGTCATTTCCGCAGCGAGATGACTCCTCGGGGAGGCCGGCGCTGGACTGTCCAGGGTGTTCTGCCTGCGTTGCCAGGACCCACCCGCCGCCGCCCTTGGACTCTGACGGGTCCTGGTCTGCCCCACCGCCCAACCCTCCTAAGGGTGCAGACGGGCAGGAGCTGAGCCCAGGACCCCACACCCGCCTCTGCCCTCACCCTCGAGCCTCCCTGATCCCCCCCCCCCCGTGGGGCTCTGGGAAAATCCAAGCCCGCTGGAGGGTGCTGGGCGGCCCTGCCCGGGTCCTTGTGCCCACAGTCTCCCGCTGGCCCGGCCCACGGTCATGTGCTTCCCTTGGAGGGCGGGCCTGTGAACCGTGCCAGCAAGCAGGCTGGGGACCAGGGCTGCCCGGAGGGGGCGTGGACGCCAGGGGCTCCAGCTGCCTTCCCGGTGCGGGCGCCCCACTTTCCCGCTCCTCCTCTCCTCCTCTGGGGAGGGGTGCAGCTGGGGGCCTGGCCCTGACATCACCACCTAATGCAGGCAGGGGGCTGGCGGGCAGTGCTGGCCGGCGTCCATGCTGAGAGCAGCAGTAAATTGCATTTCAAGCCTATGATTAGGACCGTGCCCAGGAATTTCCTCTCCCCTTCCCTCTCCCTCATCCTATTTTTCTATTTTCCTGCCTTGCTTTTGCCCTCACCCCTGCTTCTCGGGGGGGGGGGGGGAATGTTTCAGAGTCTCTCTGAGGTCGGCCGTGGGGAGCACGTCAGGACCAGGGAGAACCCAGTCCTGGTTCATGCCGCCCTCCATGGCAGCACCCCCCCCCCCACACACACAAACACCCCAGATCCAGTCTACACATGAGGTCCAGCCAGAGGCTGTACCCAGTGGTGTCCAGGACACAGGGGACTGAGTTCCTACCGGCCTCATCTGGCCGCCAGGAGAAACCAGTGGGCAGAACTGGGCTCAGGGGCTTCAACCCAACAAAGATGTCGGGGTCACAGGGACCCTCGCTCTGGGGGTGACCCCACCACTGCAATTGATTCCTCAGTCGGGGGAGGGCAGGCTGAGGTGGTGGCATCCCCCACCCCACCGTTCCCCATCTTCCTGGATGTGAGCCCCCCACTGTGGAGACGCCTGGGCTTCCTGCAGGCAGGCGAGAGCTGTGGGCTCACCCCAGCTTGCCCCTTGCCTCCTGGCATGGTGGCCTAATTCCTGGGGCCAGGAGGGGCCATGACTGGATATAGCCACCCCTGCCTGCTCTTGCCTCGTTAGACAGTCCAGCTCATCTTCCCTGCCCAGCCTGGACCTGTCCCCTCCAGGCCTTGGGCACATGCGGGCTCAAGGGGCTACTTAGTTTCTCCCAGCCCGGGAGGTGCCGGGTGGGGGGGGGGATGACTGTCTACCCACGTGCCCGTGTCCCCTCCGCTCTGCCTTCAGGGAGAAAACCCCTCACTCCCCGCCTCTAGCAGGGATCAAAGCATCCTCCCCACTGCTGACCCAACTGGACAGTGAGTCCAGGAGCTGCGGAGCCTTGTCCAGAGAAGGTGGGGGACACATTCCAAACAGAAGGATGAGACCCTCGGGGGGAGGCTGGGCACCCACAGGCTGGGGTTGAAGGTGAGCAAGGACAGCTCGAGCTAGGATGCTGACCAGAGCCGTGTCCTGCCGAGAGGTGACCTCCGGGGCCGCAGACAGAGGGGCGGGACCATGCGCTGGGGGGCTCGATGCCTGCTCCCTGCCTCCCCCCAAGCCTTCCTCCCTGCTATTTTTCAAGGCTCTCAGCTGGGCAAGCCTCGGGCCAGGAGTTCCAAGGGGAGAGGGGACATGAGTTCAGTGGGCAGTCCGGGCCTTGATGAGAAGCAAGGGGCTCAAGTTCCGTGTGGCCACACCTGCAAGGCCAGAAGGACCCAGCCTCTGGCTGGACCCCAAGCTCTGAGGCTGCTGCTCCGGTCTCTGACCCCCAGACTGTTTCCTGAGGAAGAAACACCCTCTAGGATCT